TTTTTTTTTTTTTTTCACTTGCGGTGCTGGGGCCGAACGCAAGGTGCTTCAAGCTATGCAAGGTGCTTCAAGCTATGCAAGGTGCTTCAAGCTATGCAAGCGGCTCAAGCTATGCAAGCGGCCTGCCTTTGAGCCAGCCCTGTCCTAGTGCTGAAGAATTTAAATGCACAAATAAAAATAATTAATGCATGCTATTGAGCCCCACTGTAGGACACCTTTCTCGTCCTTTTCCTGTAACTGCTCTGGTTTGTACCATTGTCATCCAATCTTTGCGTAGATATGAACATTATATTCATTAGCTATCCTGAGATTTAAGATAGAGCTAGTGTTTCTGCTCTTAAATAATCTTGCGGTTTGTGAGACTTGGTGGCCCACCCCTTAATTCCAGAGACAAGTGGAAGATCGTGACTCCCCATAGCGAGTTCCAGGCCAGATAGGGCTACAGAATCTTAAAAAAAAAAAAAACAAAAACAAACAAAAAAAACAAAAAACCTTGCAGTTCCTTTCATTGACCATATAGCTCTTTACTTGGGATAAATTTCAAAAATTGACACCCCCCTCAAAAAAAAAAAAACAACCCCAAACGTGTTCTTTCTTTAGCACTTAAAATAGGTCTTTTCTGAGTAAGGTATGTTTACAATAGACATTGCAAAATCGAGGTATTTGTCTGATTCTGTTGACTGTGGAGTTCATCAGGTTGCCAAGCCATGTTTTGTGTGACCCAGTATCATGCAGCCTATTATTGTATGCAAAGTACAAGGCAGACTGAGACTGGGGCCAGTGTCCTGAGTAAGAGGCTGAAAAGTCGGAGAAGCTTTTCTCTACTGTGATTTTGTTAAGGAGTCTGGAAAGTAATGACAAACCCATCTTGGTTTTTTTTTCTATTGATTTTATTAAGCTATACATTTTTCTCTCCTCCTTCCCTTCCTCTCCCCTCCCCTTCAACACTCTCCCATGGTTCCCATGCTCCCAGTTTACTCAGGAAATCTTACCCTTTTCTACTTCCCATGTAGATTAGATCCATGTAGGGTCCTCATTCAAACCCATCTTATTAAAACAACTTCCCCAGATGTGGGGCTGGAGGTGTGCGTGGCCAACTCAGTGGTTAAGAGTTAGTTGTTCAGGACTGGACCCACCCACGTGGCAGCCCACAACCACCTCTCATGCCAGTCTCACAGAATCTGATACCTTCTTCTGGCCTCCAAGGGTTCTCGGCTCACGTGTACAGACAGACATGCAGATAGAACACTCATGCACATTAAATAAGATTAAAACGTTTACTTCTCCAGGTTTAAAATAATTTTAAATCTAGTTCCTGCTTCTTCAAGTTGTCCCCAAGAAATAGAAACTCAGAAATACATAGCATTGGCCATATGAAAGCGTTCTGATGACAGGTGCACAAAACACCGGGCATCGCAGAAGAAGAATCTTAGCGCTGCCCTCCAGTTTTTCAGAATTGCATTTTGTACTTTTTGTTTTTGGAATTGGTTGAACCCAGGCCTGCTGCACAAAGCACCCACTATTCCCTAAACATCAGTCTATCTCATTGGTGTCAGCTTTTTTTCCATGCTAGAGTTGAACCTAGGCCCTGTATATGATACGCAAACGCTCTACCACTGCAGCAGATTCGCTAATAAAAGTAACTTCTGTATACTTTTTGTTAACATGTGACTTTCAGTTCTGTTTGCCAATTATTGTCCCCGAAGTGAGGCTTTGTTCAGCGTGCATTGGTTGACCCTCTGCTGCCTCAGTGTTGGTGGGGAGGCTGTTACCAAACCTCTGTCTTTATTGTCTTGGAGTCCCGTGAGCCTAAGATGTGGTCCAGGCCTCTTGGATTACAAGCCCTCTTTAGAAAGTTGGTTACATAGTGGATGCTTCAAAGGGGACATAGCACACACTGTGTGAGGCTTCCTAATTCTAGCATGAGTGTTGAAATCTGATACGGGTTTTGAAGTAGTAAATCCATCTAAACAAGGAAGAGCTCTCCTTCAGGAGACCTGACAGATTATCTCATTCAGAGAGATGGCTGTGATTTGCTCCTTAAAGGTGCTGAGATTTTCTGGAAAAGATGTGTTTTCACCCATGCATAAATAGTTTTCACATAGTCTAGAGTAAGATTAGGTTAAACACAAAAGTAATTATGGCATCTAGGGGTGGGTGGGAAAGTTCTCTGTCCTCTTATTCACGCTGACACTGTGTGCTGTTGTGCATCACCCAGCCCTCTGCTGGGGACCCCGAGCCTGATAAAAAGCATTTCACAGATGGAGGCTGCTCTTGGTGCATGCACACCTTCAATCCCAGCATTTGGGGGCCGCAGCAGGTCTAAGGCATACCTTCATAGTGAGTTCCAGACCAGCTGGGGCTACATAGAGCTGTCTGTCTCAAAACCAAAAACCACAGAATTTCTAACAGAGTGAGGGAGAATGGAACCAGTGACTGCCCTTAGAGATGAAGAGCTTGTGAGTTGGGCAGTCACCGTGATTCTTCTGCCCTTCCAGGTGCATGCCCTGCCCATCCCCGCTGTTCAAGGGTGGGCATACATGGGGACTTGACATAGAACCCAAACTCATGATAGACAAGCCTTATTCCATTAAGCTACACCCCAGCCCTTATGTCACAGTTTGACTTTAGAAGCTGTTGCTCTGCAAGTCAGCTTTGGAGACCAGGTCGGCTGCTGTGTGCATTTGAAACACAGAAAGAAAGGCTTCAGGAGATGTCTTGGAGGGACACATGGCTAAGAGAGGCAGGGCTGTTGTATGTTGTGTTTCCTTTGAATCTTCAAGGAAAGAATGAGGCTACAAGGAGAGGAAGACCAGTTCAAAGGCAGAATTTGGGGTGATTGGTCTCAGAGATATGGGCTCCAGACCCAAGGACTGGAATCCTATATAAATCTAGCAGAGAAAGACTGAAGTACTTCTCAGAGCTCGTCCACATCCTTTTAGGATCTCTTGTGTTGTTATTTAGGAGCTTCTTACTTGAAGTTGAGGGGGTATAGAAAGGTAGCCCTCCTGTGTGTATTACTGAGTTTAGTAGGTAACCAGCAGGATTGTTGTGAGCTGCCATGTTCCTGCTGGGAGCCCAGTAACCTCAGCCATCCCTCCAGCCTTGCCAGTGTTAGGGCTTCTTTCCCACCACCCAAGGTATTGAAGCTGAGCTGTATTCTCTGAAAGCCAGGATCGAAATACTTTTTATAGAAGGGACAATTCAGGCTTTGTGGCTGTGCTCAGCATATCTAGGAACAGTTGGTAAGCAAGTGAATTGGCTGTGTTTTATGGAAGCAGGCTTTGGGAGGACTGGTCTTAATGGAGTAGTATTCGGGGAGCCCTGGTCTACAGCTGCTTTCCGCAGTTTTCTCCAGTGGACTCCTTCCCTGCACTATTTGACTGTGCAGACATTTCTGTTTGTGACTTGTCAGTTTAAGGGAAATTGCCCTGTAGCCTGCCTTGGAACCTTAGGCTTCCCATTTGGAATGTCTCCTAAAGGGTGCTCTGCTGCAGAGTGCTCCTAACCTGCTGGTAGAGCTGCTCTGAGCTGCCTAGGTCCAGGTGACCCCACTGCTTGTGTGCATGAAGCCTGTCTCAGATAATACTGACAACAGCAGAGCCACACTAAAGTCCAGGCAGCAGTTAGGAAGAACAGAATCGGTTGTCCTGTGACTCAAGTTTGGTGAACAAGCAACTTAGAGATATTCACAATGATAGTTTTTTGTATTAGAAACACTTAATTTTTTTTTCCATATTTTTGTAGAGTTCAAGTGTCTGAATGTGTGGAAAATGCCTGAGGCAGTGTGTTTGTTATGCTGAAGAACCCTAACTGCCAGGGGAGGAGTCCTGGAAGAGCCAGGGTGGTGCTGGTGAATTCCGCCTTAGTGATGCTGTCTCAGGTTTTTACTAGGAAGAGGTATTTGTGGTTTATTGCATAATAAATATTTTAATTTGCATAATAAAAATTTAAAAACTAAAAACAAGAAAACAGCTGCACCCCAAGAGCTAGCTGAGTAAACAAAGGAAGAGGAGGAGAAAAGGACGTGTGGGCTTGGAGGGTCACATCTTCCACCCAATCTGGCACTTGCTGTGAGAGGAGGACTCTTAGCCCAGAGAGGGTTAAGGTCACCTTTAGACTAGGCCCTATTCTTGTCCTGACGTCTGTCACTTTGGGGCCCCACTAT